AACCACGCACGAGACCGAAAAAAGCACAGGGAATGGACGTCCGAGCGATGGCGAGTTGGGGGGGGGGGTCAAAGGAGAGGGCGGGGGAGGGGCAGGGGAGCGAGAGACGGGTGGAGGATCTGGTGTCGGTGATGCGGGTGATGTGGCGGGGGGGGGGCATGGGTATGGTGGGCGGGGAAGCGGAATGGGATTGGAGGAAAGAGTGGCTTGGCATCGCTCGGACGTGTGCATTCTTCCTTCGGCGAGGACCCTCGAGGAGCGTCCTTGATCATTGGGCGGAAACAACCACGCACGAGACCGAACAAAGCACAGGGAATGGACGTCCGGGCGATGGCGAGTGGGGGGGGGGGTCAAAGGAGAGGGCGGGGGAGGGGCAGGGGAGCGAGAGACGGGTGGAGGATCTGGTGTCGGTGATGCGGGTGATGTGGCGGGGGGGGGGCATGGGTATGGTGGGCGGGGAAGCGGAATGGGATCGGAGGAAAGAGTGGCTTGGCATCGCTCGGACGTGTGCATTCTTCCTTCGGCGAGGACCCTCGAGGAGCGTCCTTGATCATTGGGCGGAAACAACCACGCACGAGACCGAAAAAAGCACAGGGAATGGACGTCCGGGCGATGGCGAGTGGGGGGGGGGTCAAAGGAGAGGGCGGGGGAGGGGCAGGGGAGCGAGAGACGGGTGGAGGATCTGGTGTCGGTGATGCGGGTGATGTGGCGGGGGGGGGCATGGGTATGGTGGGCGGGGAAGCGGAATGGGATCGGAGGAAAGAGTGGCTTGGCATCGCTCGGACGTGTGCATTCTTCCTTCGGCGAGGACCCTCGAGGAGCGTCCTTGATCATTGGGCGGAAAACCACGCACGAGACCGAAAAAAGCACAGGGAATGGACGTCCGGGCGATGGCGAGTTGGGGGGGGGGGTCAAAGGAGAGGGCGGGGGAGGGGCAGGGGAGCGAGAGACGGGTGGAGGATCTGGTGTCGGTGATGCGGGTGATGTGGCGGGGGGGGGGCATTGGGGGTGGTGGGCGGGGAAGCGGAATGGGATCGGAGGAAAGAGTGGCTTGGCATCGCTCGGACGTGTGCATTCTTCCTTCGGCGAGGACCCTCGATCGCTCGGACGTGTGCATGCTTCCTTCGGCGAGGACCCTCGAGGAGCATCCTTGATCATTGGGCGGAAAACAACACGCACGAGACCGAAAAAAGCACAGGGAATGGACGTCCGGGCGATGGCGAGTTGGGGGGGGGGGTCAAAGGAGAGGGCGGGGGAGGGGCAGGGGAGCGAGAGACGGGTGGAGGATCTGGTGTCGGTGATGCGGGTGATGTGGCGGGGGGGGGGCGGGGGGCATTGGTTGGGGGTGGGCGGGGAAGCGGAATGGATCGGAGGGAAAGAAGGGTGGGCGGGGTGGGCATGGGGGGAGGGTGCGGGAGGGGAGGGTGCGTGCTCCAAGGTATGAACAGCCTGTTCGGAGAGAACGGCCGCCCGAGCGTGAACAGCTTGGTCGGCGCCACGGGGAGGCCAGGGTCCCACTCCTCCTGCTCCTCCTGTTCCTGCTGCTCCTCCTCCTCCTCCTCCTCCTCCTCCTCTCCTCCTTCCTCCTGCTCCTCCTCCTCCTCCTCCTCCTCCTCCTCCTCCTCCTCCTCCTCCTCCCCGTCTTTTTCATTTCTCTACCATCGCTGATGCTGCTGATTTACCGTAAATTTCCGTGTCCTCGTCGTCTCTCTTCATCTTTCTCATCAACCAGCTCTCTTTGCTTTTTTGCCTTTGTCCTTCTCATACTCGTCCATCGTCGTCCTATTTACCCCTCATTCTCACACTCTCCCATCGCCCACTTGCCCTCAACCCCTCCTCCAGCTGCAGCTTCCACGTGTACAAGTGCTTGGCATCGCTCGGACGTGTGCATTTTTCTTTCGGCGAGGACCCTCGAGGAGCATCCTTGATCATTGGGCGAAAAAAACCACGCACGAAACCGACCAAACACAGGGAATGGACGTCCGAGCGATGGCGAGAGTGTGGAGGCGAGGCTCCTCCTCCTCCTCCTCCTCCTCCTCCTCCTCCTCCTCCTCCTCCTCCCCGTCTTTTTCATTTCTCTACCATCGCTGATGCTGCTGATTTACCGTAAATTTCCGTGTCCTCGTCGTCTCTCTTCATCTTTCTCATCAACCAGCTCTCTTTGCTTTTTTGCCTTTGTCCTTCTCATACTCGTCCATCGTCGTCCTATTTACCCCTCATTCTCACACTCTCCCATCGCCCACTTGCCCTCAACCCCTCCTCCAGCTGCAGCTTCCACGTGTACAAGTGCTTGGCATCGCTCGGACGTGTGCATTTTTCTTTCGGCGAGGACCCTCGAGGAGCATCCTTGATCATTGGGCGAAAAAAACCACGCACGAAACCGACCAAACACAGGGAATGGACGTCCGAGCGATGGCGAGAGTGTGGAGGCGAGGCAGGAGGCGTTCGTGCGGCGCTCGGCACGTGACGTTTTTGCCACGAGGCGTGGGCCACAGAGATCCTGCTTTCCGAGTGCGTCGCGCCGGCGGGTTCTGGAGAGGTTACAGTGAGCGGCTTGAATAAGGAACACTTACTTTTCAAAAGGGGCTCGGTCGTTCCTTAGGTTTGCATGCGTTATTTACAGTTCCTTATGCGTTATTTGTTAGTTATCGTTCCTTATGCGTTATTCCTTGGGATGAAAAAGGGGCTTCGTTCCTTATTTTTCGTTCCCTAGATCAGGCCGATGACTGTACACCATCACGTTCAGCACGGATTATTGCTTTTAGTTCCCTACCTAGGCTCTGCCTAGAAGGGTTCTTACTCGTTTGGCTTAAGGGGCCGGGCAGTGCGAAGCGCCCCGGGCGGTCCCCCCGGTCCCCTGGGAGCCCAGCGAAAGCAACAGCAAAAGTAAGAGCAAACGCGCGGTTCCCCCGGTTGCGCTCCCTGGGTGCCAAGCAAAAGCAAAAGCAAAGGCAAAAGTGAAGGCAAAAGCGAAGGCAAAGCACCATCACGTTCAACACGGATTGTTGCTTCTAGTTGACACTGCGAGAACTGTGAGGCGCTCCGGAGGAGTAGTTGTGAGAATTCGAGCACCGTAATAGCATCGAGAAGCATGGGGGTGCTGTGCGAGAGTGCGAGAAGTGGGCGCAGTGGCTGGTGCGCGCCAAGGACGCGCTACAGCGCGATCTCCCCACTCTCCCGAGCGTCCGCGCAAGGGGAGCAGCAGTAGCAGTAGCTGGCGGGTTCTGTTCGGCCTTTCCAGTCCCCCCCCCGCAACAGAAAGCTCCGCCGTCTCCCCATATGAGGTGCGCCTGGCGCATTGCACGCCTCCACATGGATGCACGCAGACCCAGAAGCGTTTGTGCTGCAGGAGCGCTGCCAACAGCCTCCCCGGTCAGCCAAGCCATGTTGGTCTTGCTGAGATGTCTGGCGCTGCCGACGGGAAGCCCACGCCGTGGCACAGGCCCTGAGTCGGACCGCCTGACTACACGACAGCCAACTTTGACAAACCCTGCGTCATCCGTGTGGGTAACGCATCTTCCGAGCGTGCTCCGCGTCAGCACTCCGATTCTGGCGCGCGTGGGACATCCTCCTCTGACCCGTCCCATCATCCTCGGTTACTCCTCGTCCTGCTCTGTGTCCTCCACCTGCATTTTCCACCTCTTGCTCCTCCTGGAGCCCAGGGCAGACGCCAATCTGGCGAATCTGGTCAGGGGTGCTGCCTGGCTGTGAGACTCTGCTCCCGTCAGGGCCAGGGACCCACCTAAGCGGACTGGATGGGGGACATATTATCGATGGCACACGCGTCGTCTTTCAGGAGGGACAAAACACACAAACACAGTTAATCGTCGCTTCCCCAGAAATATGGGAAACTATGGGAAGCGGAGGGGAAGACAGAAACCCAGAAAGTATGGGAAAATAGTGGGAATCTTGTTATTTGTGTCTATCTAAAGCCTGAGCACAAGGACCTTTGCGGCGAGGACATCGGCTGTGCCCGCCCCTGCAGGTCCACCACGCGCTCACGCGCACGAGCCGCCGCGGGAGAGCGGTACACGCCCTCTCTCCCTTGGATTCCCATCGACGAGCTCGGCGAGACGGGATCCGAGCACCGCACGCCTCGGGTGATACCTCCCTGATCAGACCGGCGGTGCCGATGCGAGGGTCTGCCAGCGGAGTTGCCGCGGCGGAGTCAGAACTCCGGGGAGATGACCAAGAGGAGTCCAAGCATGATTTTTGGCGTTCCTCGGTTGATGATACCCATCGGTCGGAAGAAGTGGGTAGAAACATGAAGTAGGAAAGCGCTGAAAGTAGATTGGAATCTGGGAATCCAAAAATACCTACTTTCAACGACCGAGGGATGTGGTGCCGTCTCGGTATCCACCCAACTCGACTTCAGCCGTTGCGCCTCTGGGCCCGTTGCAGCCCGAGCCGGCGGATGCAGTCCGATGGAAACAGCCGCAGACTCATAATAAGTTTATTGCTCATTGGTCCTGGCCCTCTGACCCGTTGGGTTATGCACGAAGGAGGAGAGGTGGGTGGTAAGGTAAATCGTCTGTTTGCGTCGAACTGTTACGTGCTGTAGATTCAGGGGCGGGCCGCCCGCAGTCTCACCATCCGTCACGTTCTGTGCCGAAGAGTCGCGGCGAGCGCGCATGATGGGTCGCGCCTGCGAATTCCCTGGTCAACAGGCTCGTGACCCACGCGGGCGAGGGCAGCGCGAGCAGCCGGTGCCAGAAGGCCGTGAAGCAGCTCCTGGGCGGCGCGAAGCGCGGCGGGCGCCCCGTCGGCACCCTGCAGGAACGGGGCCGCGCAGCTCCGCGTGGAGGGCGAGCCGGTCCCCGCGCAGGCGACGGACGCCGCCCTCGGAGCCTCCTGCGAGCGCCGCCCGATTCCTGCAGGTGCAGAGGTGGCAGCTCGAGCCGGCGCTCGGTGGCGCAGGCAGGAAGAGGCTCAGCTGCGGAAGTCCGGCGTGGGCGAGGGTGGAGATGGCCGAGTCGCCCGTCCACGCGGGCGGCGCGAGCGTGGCGAGAGAGTGTCAATCAGGGGATGGCTGGCGGCGTCTGGCGGCCGCAGGCGCCAGCAGCACCCGCAAGGCACGCCAAGGCGTGCGCGCCGATCGGGCGCCGAGCGGTGCTGGGCACCGGCGTGCCGGGGCAGGGGGCGGTTTGTTGGGGCCTGGGCTTGCACGGCCGTGGTGGGGGCCATCACTGCACCGCACGCGGCCAGGCGTCGGTTGGTCGTCTCCATCGCACGCCGTGCGCAGCGCGTGCGCGGCGAGGGGGCACGGGGGATAGTGAGATGGTGACGATCAGGCAGCTTCGTTCCTCATTGGTCCGCTGCGAGTTCCTGTCGCAACTGCGCTTGGCAGCTCAGGGTATGGACCGTCCAGACGGAACAATGATTATGTGCGTCCAGGACTTCGTGTTTGACAACAATTGCGCAGCTGACACGGTCCAGATCCACAGCGTCGTCGACGAAACCGTAGCGGATTCTTTTGTCTGAGTTTCTAGTCCTTTGGCGCTCCAAGACGTGCGAGCGTGCTGGTTAGATCCACACAGTGATAGCCCACTGTGGGCATTGTATCAGGACCTCTGTCGCGACGTGTTTGCTAGATCTTCGATCACATCACACACGCGTGGACTTGTATGCTGCTGCGGTTCAGCACAAGTCTAACCATGCATTGCTGCGAGTTTTGTGCGCGGTGCATGCTGTTGAGATGGTCCTCCACGACAGGGGTGTTGTATCGGTGAAGTTGATGGGCAATAGGGATGCGATAGCAGGGTGCTCTGCTGCTACCACCTGGGCCAAGCTCTTGCTGGTCTCTTTGCTGGTTCGAGACCAGCTAGGACGTCCACAGCTCGAAGGGTGGAACGTCATTGATGATGTTGCGTTGCAGGTCGTTGCCCCTCGTTGGGTCACTACTTTGCAGTTGGGAGGAGTGCGGTCCCTTGCGGGCGGTTCCGTCGCGCGCAACCTGCCCGCCTCAGCCAAGTCGAAGTACTTGTGCAGCAGCTCGGCCCTGGACAGTTGCAGCAGGGTTGGAGCCTCCCGCCAACCAGTCGCGTGGACACATCTCGTAATCTGGGGACGGGCGCCCCCTGAGATAATGCGGGATGACGATTAATTGAAAAATGGGGGGGGGACGATTAAAAAAATAGTTTAGTGCAATTTCTGCAGAACTTTCTGACTGGAGGAGAACGGTTAAAAGAAATAGTTTTCCAGCCCGCGGCCGGTTTCTTCGAATCGTCATCTTAGGCGCCGCCGCGTGAACACGACCCCCGGTCATTTATTAATCGTCATCCTCCATTTTTTGGTGGACCCCAAACATGGTGGTGAGAACACCCGGTGGTGAGTTTTGGGCGATTTGGGTAATGGTTTTCGAGCGCTGGCTGGCCCAGGAAACGCAAAACCTCGTGGCGACCGCGTGTCCCCAAACCTGGTGGTGACCCAGAATGATTTCTTTGG